TGTGGGTGTGCCAGTGAGACTGATATTTGAATTGTTGGTTAGGAAAGTAAATGGGTCTCCCCAAAGCAAGCGGCTCATCCAGTCCACAACGCCTGGGCTAAAACAAATACATGGAAAAACAGCAAGTCTGCCTGTCTCAGATGGGCACTTACACTATTGGATCTCCTGCTGAGGGCTTTCACACTAGAAACTACATTGTCAGCCTCTGGGTCTCCAGCTTTCTGGCTACCACTCTAAGGATTTCTCAGCCTTTATAATAGTATAAGCCAATTCTTAACAATATATCATTGAAATATTCCTTTATGATACATTGTATTCCAAATATATATGCACATATATGCATATGTATTATATGATCTCTGTGTCTCTTATTATTTATTAGATCATCTTCTCTGGAGAATTCTGGCTCAGATGAAGCTGCAAGAAGCAGTCAGGCTCTGAGCATGCTCATGACAGGCTGGCAGAACGCATGGATGGGATGTACCACAAAGAGAGACAAAGGAATCGAAGATAAGTGTTGGTGGCTTTGTAATCGTGACTACTGCGGAGGCTGGGATATGAAGACTGTGGTTCAAAGCTGAGGTAGGAAAGTCCATGAGAAGAATTCTTATCTCCAATTAACTACCAGAAAAATGGGAGTGGAGCTGTGGCTCAAAGTGGTAGAGCACTAGTCTTGAGCTGAAAAGCTCAAGGATAGCACACAGGCCCTCAGATCCAGCCTCACAACCAAAAAAAGATGTAAGTAGAGTAAGTAGAAAAGATTCCTACACTGAGGCGGGAGGGCCACTTGAGAGGTTTGTCAGGAGCACGGCTGCGGTACTTATTCCGTCCACACTTCCAGTTCTCATTGTAAGATGTGCACAGGGGGTTGGTCAGGTGAGTCTGGGATGATGACATTAACTGCAGGTTATCAGTGCACCCAGTGATGGGGTACAGATAAAGTTGAGGTGTCTGAAATCTGAATCCCAGGAAGTCAGCCCAAGGTTCAGAGATCACGACGACGACGACGCTGAATCAAGGAAGAAGATAGAGATTGAAGGGCTGCCCAGGGGAGCTCTGCTTCAGAAGCCAAAGGAAGACCTGTTGCAAGGCAGGATGGTTGACTCTATCAAGTGTTGCTCAGGTGAGGGGGACAAAACTGAGGCCTGCACACAGAGTGAGGGATTAGCCACATTAAGGTCCGTGGTGGGGCTGGGTGAGCAGGGTTTGACGGTGGGGTGACCGAAGCTTGCTTGGCGTGGGCCTCAGGGTGAACAAAGAAGAATGGAGAGAGAGAAAAAGAAATAACCGAAGAAATATACATAGCCAATAGAAAGGATTAAAAACAAAAGCAACAACACAAGAGCTTCACGTTATAACTGGAGCACGAACCAGAGCTAAGGGGAAAATAATAAAGGAGACAAAAAAGAGATAAAGGTGTGATAATGGCGAGACAGGGAACCGTGATCCTCCTAAGCCCTGTGTTTCAAGGAGCAAGGAAGGGGGAATGAGCCACCAGTCCATCAAGGTTGTAGCCACGTGTCTATCCATCTCTTCCTTTTGAAGCCTGAGCAACATTCCCCTGCATGGGTATACAGAGACCCCTGTAGGGGATTTAGAATTGCTAGACGGTGCGGCAGTGCTACTGTTAACTTTTTAGAGTCATCACACCATTTACCACTGCAGCTATACTAGTGGTGCAACTTTGTCTACATTTACATTAACACTTGTTATTTCCATTAGTCTGTCTTTGGTGGGGATTTCTGATTTTTGGTTTTAACTGCGCCAGCCTTTTGTACTCGGGGCTAGGTAGATGCTCTATCTTGAGCAATGCTCCAGTCCCTCTTTCTGCTTTTCCTTGTAGATAGGGTCACTTTTTGACCACCATTCTTTTACCCTTTGCCTCTGTAGTAGCTGGAATTACAGGTACACACCACTATCCCTAGCTTGCTGGAGAGATGGGATCTTGTTATACTTCTGCCTGATCTGACTCAGTCATTCCAAGATCTGGTGATCCTCCTAAGTGGCTAAGACTGTGGGCTTGTGCCACCACACCCATCTGTATTAGTCTGTCATTGATTTCTCTAAATTTGATGCCTTTTAGGACACATTGTGTTATGTGAAAGGGGGGGGGGAGGAGGAGGAGGAAGGCGAGGAGGAGGAAGAGGAGGAGGGGGAGGGGGAGGAGGAGGAGGAGGAGGAGGAGGAGGAGGAGGAGGAGGAGGACCAGTTATTACTTCTGTCAAGGAGAGAAATGAGGTTAAACGAAGCAGTTCATGCTCACCCAGTTCGGCTAACTTATCTTTTCTAGATCTGCACTGAACCTTGCCATAGCCTTGTGTGGCTACGTAAATTTAATCAAGATTTTTTAAAAAATGTAAATTCAGCTCTCCAATTTCATTAGTAGCATTTCAAATGCTCAGGTGCCACTTTCCTGAGTGGCTAGTGTAATGGACGGTGCAGAATGGAACATTTCTTTTATTACAGACAGTTCTTTGGCTACTGTATTGGCTAGCTAGATTCCATTAGCCACAGGTTATAGTTGAATAAGCTCTTCCCTTCCCAAACTGGCCAGGTTGAAATTCAAGTTGAGGATCTTTCTTTTGGGAGGGAGGAAAGATGCTATGTTAACATTTGTGGCTCCTTGCAGACCTATTTCTGCTCTACATGCAGGGACAGTGCCTAGGCTCTGAGTTCAAGCCCCAGGACCAGCTTTCTTGCTCACAGCTGGTGCCCTACCCTCTGAACCACACCTCCAGCCTGGATTTTGGTTAACTATTTTGGAGATTGAATGTCAAAGACATTTCTACCTGGACTGGCTTCCAACTGTGATCCTCCAGATCTGAGCCTCTGAAGTAGCTAGGATTATAGCTGTGAACCCATAGTACTTGGCTCAGTATCCTTTTAGTTAGTACCAAGATTATAGTCGGTAAACTCCAGCTCTGATATTTTTTCCAGCCCTAGGGCTTGAACTCTGGGCCTGGACACTGTCCCTAAGCCTCTTTGTGCTCATAGCTGGCACTTGAGCTACAATACCACTTCCAGCTTTTTCTGAGTAATTTATTAGAGATAAGAGTCTCATGGACTTTTCTGCCTGAGCTGACTTTGAACTGTGATAGTCAGATCTCAACCTCCTGAGTAGCTAGGATTACAGGTGTGAGCCACCAGTGCCCAGCCTAGCTCTGAAATTTTTACAATTATACACTTCTTACAGGTATCTTCCCTGATTCCATCAGATCCTAATTTCAAGCCACTGATCAGCTTTATGAAGCAATCTTATTGTGTGCCATAAATTCTCCACCAGTATACTCAGACTAGGAAAAAATCTCAGATCACAGGTAAATCTTTTTATATAGACTATCTCAACACAAAATATAATTTAGAGAAATACATGTCTGACAATTGTTAAATGGGATGTTAAGGCCATAAATATTTAAATATCTATTAAGCTTCAAAGTGCTTATAGATGTTCATGTGTTACCAAATGCCACAACATGAAACCTATGCCTAATGCTAATACTATCATTAAAGGTACTTACCACTCAGTTACAATGTGCATGCACTCTGTTAACATGTTCATATGACATCTCATTTAATTCTCACCTCCAATATAGGATGAGAAATAATAACCACTTATAACAGAGAAATAAACTGAGCCTTAAGGTTCTTGTGCACCATCCTCCTCCCAAAAGACCGGATATAAAAGGCCATGTTCTTAACTGCTAATAAAGAATACACAAACAAGCAAAAACCACAGAAGAATAAATAAAGAAATAAAGAATTCCCAAAGTGAGTGCTTTGTCTCAACTTGCTATCTGGACTTAAAGAGTAATATAAAATTCTAAGCAAAGAATGTACCAGGTAACTCTTACAGAAAATCAAATTTCTAGCTGGGTACAGTAGCTCACACTGGTAATCCTAGCTACTAGGAAGGCTGAAATCTGAGGATCACTGTTCAAAGCCAGCCTGGGAAGGAAAGTCCACGAGACTCTTTTTTTTTGGGGGGGTCCAGTTTTGGGGCCTGAACTCTGGGCCTGGATGCTGTCTTTCAGCTCTTCAGCTCAAGGCTAGCGCTCTACCACTTGAGCCACTTTCCCAGCCCTCCACGAGACTCTTATCTCCAATAAACCACCAGGAAACCAGAAGTGGTGCAGTGGCTCAAGTGGTAGAGCACTTGCCTTGAGCTGAAGAGCTGAGGGACAGTGCCCAGGCCCAGTTCAAGCCCCACAACCAACAGCCAACAAAACAGAACAAAAAGAAAATGAAATTTCTTGTTAATACACTCATTTATTTTTCCATGCACAAGGAGCATGAGAAGAAATTGGATTCTTTTGGTATTAGATACACTTCATCCCTACCTATAACTCCTGGAATATATTGTTGTGTTTTTATTTTAATACAAATTTCAATGAAGTGATCTTTCTGGTATGGTTGCATACTTTATAAGAGACCTAAAGTTTAATAGAAAGAAATAGAACAAAAGTTCTCTGTGAAAGAAAATAGAATTAAAAAAAATTCATCTGGGGGTAGTGTAGGTAATTTGCTTGTTTTCAATGGGAACCAATTTTTTCTACAACAATGATTTTGCATAACAGGTTGCTAAAATATTTGGTGATGGGACAAGTTACCCAATACTGACTTCTGGAAATGTGTTTTGCACCACTGTTCTTACTGCAGAACTAGCAAAAATGAAACAGAAGTTGGGGCCAGGTGGAGGTAATGGGTGACTATCAAAGTATGTTATACATACGTGTGAAAATGTCATAATGAAACCATTCATTTGTACAGTTAATGTATGCTAAAAAAGAAGCGAAATAGACAAGCATAAATATAATGTAACCAATTAGCCATATCTGTTTCAGGAAATAGTTCAGTCTTTGTCTTCTAAATGTTAGTTTTGAACAGGAATAGTTTTCATTCAGTGGCACTTCCACAAGTAAGCTAAACATCTTTGTATCCATCTTTTGTTCATGTAGATGAATTTGTGGCACCTATTTAGAAGATTCATTTCTATAACTTACTTTGGGGTTGAGATCTGGTTTTAATCTCTTCTTCCTCATCATCCTCCATTCCGTTCCCTTGCTGCAGCTCCATCTGTTTATTCATCTGACTTTCTTCTTTTCACTCCTCTTCAGATGGACCAATTCCTTCTCCGCTGATGGTTTGTAAGTCATTTCCATACATTTATGGACCACAGGCTACAAGCATCCTGCTGTGATCCTAAAGAAAAGATCCAAGACAGAACGAGCTCTTGAAACTCAAAAGTGTTTCAAAAGAGAAACAGAGTAAAAGTGGTATTATGAAAACAGATTGAAGTCTGAGCAGTGAACTCACGGTTTCAAAGGACTTAGCCTTGAGAACACAGCCGTGTGGATAATGACCCTGCTGGAAGAACTCCATCCACCACTCCTGATTCTGCTCGGGTACCCAAGAATGAAGCAGAGTGTGCCCGAAGCAGGCTGTCCCAGTGGTTTGCTTTAAACCTGATGTTCTACACGCTGATGATGGACACAGGCGAGTTATGAAACAGGAACTCTTGCTACAGCTCTACGTTCCTCCAGCACAAAGGAACATTTACAAAACAAGAGCCCCATGCAAACCAGAACTCCTCATCCAACACTGCAAATGTGGATGCTGGAAACTAGCTATTTATGCTTATTTCTTCTATCCATTCATGGTCCTAAGTGAGCTATCAGATGCATTTTGCGTTTGCTTAAAGTTTTACATTGCTCTTTGAGTATAGATCGCAAGTTAAGACAAAGGACTTTGAGAAGTCTTTTTATTTTTTTAAAATTATTTTATGGTTTTTTTCATTTTTCTTGTATTCGATATTAGCAATTAAGAATACAGATTTTTGTAACAGACCCTAGGATTTATAAAAACACAGATTTTTGTATCAGGCCTTAGGATTTAAACAGAGCATCTGTCTAACTTAAGTAATGAGTGGTCTTCAAGGAAAGAAAACATACGGCACCCAGTGCTGACAAGTGATTTGCACTATAATGTCACTTCAATACAGTATCAGTGCAGTCTCACTTCTACGTGCATGTGGTAGAAACTCCTTTTGGTACAGACTTCATCTAACTATTTTACCTCACTTCCCCACAGAATAGCTTTAGTTCTGAGCTAAAATTGGGTGTTGATCCTACCTAGGAAGGAAACAAAAAAAATTGTTTCCTATAATGATTTAGGAGGTAACATGGGAAAGTTAGTTGTCAGGAAATTCAGCTGACAGGCTGCCATGATTAGAACTAGAAAGTAAACAGTACCAGAAAATACCAAGTTGGTTTTGTTTTGTTTTTTCAATTTTTGACTGGCAACCGTTATTTTTTTCAATTTAGTCTTGTCTGACCTATTTTTTTAGAAGTTGTTCAGGTTACTTTGTTATGGAGACTATATTTCTTGTAAGATTGGATCAGGTTTGCCAATCTCTGTCACCAAGTGATAACAGTAGGATTCCCTCAACTTCCTAATCGTGTGTGTGTGTATGTGTGTGTGCGGGGGGGTGGGGGGGGATGTGCGTGCCAGTACTGGGGTTTGAACTCAGGGCCTGGGTGTTGTGTCTGAGCTGTTTTGCTCAAGGCTAGCACTCTAGCAACGAGTCTACTTCTGGCTTTTTTGGTGGTTAATTGGAGATAAAGAGTCTCAGGGACTTTCATGCCTAGTCTGGCTTTGAACCATGACCCTCAGATTTCAGCTTCCTGAGTAGCTAGGATTATAGGCATGAGTCACCAGCACCTAGTCAAGCTTCTCAAATGTGTGTGTGTGAGTGTGTGTGTGTAAGAGAGAGAGAGAGAAGGAGAGAGAGGGAGAGACAGAGAGAGAGAGCACACAATGGGGCTTGAACTCATGGCCTAGGTGCTGTCCCTAAGCTTTTGTACTCAAGGCCAGTGCTCTACCACTTGAGCCATAGCTCCACTTCCAACTTTTTTTTTTTTTTTTTGGGTCCAGCCAGTTGTGGGGCCTGAACTCTGGGCCTGGGCGCTGTCTCTCAGCTCTTCAGCTCAAGGCTAGTGCTGTATCACTTGAGCCATAGCGCCACTTCTGGCTTTTTTCTTTTTGCTGAGGAATTGAACCCAGGGCCTTGTGCATGCAAGGCAAGCGCTCTACCACTGAGCCACCTTCCCAGCCCCAACTTCCAGCTTTTTAGTAGTTTTTATTTTTTAATTGGACGCCAGAGTCTCACAGACTTTCCTGCCTGGGCTGACTTTGAATGTCAAGCCTCAGATCTCAGCTGAGTAGCTGGGATTATAGGCATAAGCCACTGACGCCTGGCAACCAAGCTTCCTAGTTTTCAAAGTAAAATCTTAAGTCCTTGAGGTCTACTCATGGAAAGCTTCATAGTGTCTCACTTCTAGCAAGGATTTTAGCATAATAGGATAAAGTAGGCAAAGATTAAAAAAAAAAAAAAGAGAAAAGCAAGCTCACCATGCTAGAAATGGGAGTAAAGACATCCATTCACCTGTTGAAGATGACATATCTTGGTTACGTTAGTTACAAGCTTTAGCAATTATAAGTAAGGCCAGTTTTTGCAGGAAACAAAGAGAACAGTTGCTGGACTATGTGGTAAGATTATGCTTATTTTTGTAAGAAAATGCCACTGTCTTCCCACCATCAATGAACGAAAGATTTTTCTTGTACCATTTCTTGTCAACATTTGTTTTGGTTCATGTTTTGGATTCTAAAAGGTGACTAGTAATCTCTCACTGTTATTGTAATTTTAAGAGATAATTTAAATATACTTTAACATTTTTATATTTGCTTATACTTTTAGTTAAAAAAATAAAAAGTAACTTTTGGTTTTGATTAGTACACAATTTAAAAACCCTTCAGATGATCTGTATTCATAAAACAAAAGTATGTAAAATTACTCTGGGCCTGATGGTAAACACCCGTCTGTAATTTTGGCATTTAGGAGGGTGAGGCCAGATATGCACAAGTTCAAAGCCAGCCTGGGCCATATAATGAGGCTGTCTCAAAAGAGAAGAAAAGAAGTATGTAAAATTGTACAGCAACATAAAATTTTTGCCCAGAAAAACAAATCAATGTAATAGATATGTCACAATGTTTGAATTATTTTGATTCCTTTTACTCATCAAAATATTGATGATTCATTAACACTGAACTAACTCATGCTCACTCATAATTAAATTTTGTCACTTTTCATAGTTTGCCAACTTTTAGTCACATATTTTTCAGTTTTGTCATTGGGAAGTTTTATTTGCTGAGGTAAAATGAAGAGCATAGTTAACAGTTTCTTAGTTATTTTTTCATTTTCATCAGTCCTGGAGCTTGAACTCAATTTCACTCAAGGCTAGCACTCTACCATTCTGAGCCACAGTGCCACTTCCAGTTTCCTGGTGGTTCATTGGAAATAAGAGTCCCACAGACGTTCCTGCCAGGGATTGCTTCGAACCTCGATCCTCATTCTCAGCCTCCTGGGTAGCTATCTGACCAGGACAGGGACAATCCAACAACAGGAGACAGGGCTGAAAAACTAGATTTAGGGGACCAGGGGACCCGAAGCCATTCACCATACTCAGCCATTAAGTTGAGAGGAAGTCTTGCAAACTTTTCTGCCTATGCTGGTCTCAAACCAAGATCCCTCAGTCTCTGCTTCCCAAGTAGCTAGGATTACAGTCTAAAGCCACTGGACCTGGTCTTGGTTTCATTTCTAATTTGACCATATTCATAGATGTGAAATGGTGGCATATATTTGGATCTGCTTTTGAAGCAGTCTTATAATGGGAGGTTACAGGTTTGGGGAATCATTGAGAGACTGTGGATATTCTTAGTAGAAATGTCCAAATATATAAATACAGATGGAATGCTATATATGTTTCTGGGGTTCACAGGCTCCCTAAACTTCTCCCATTGACCCCAGGGATCTATGCACTATAAGGCAGAAACTCCTGCTCTAAATTCCTCACAGCTTGCTGCCATTTGGATTCTGACAAACAGTGCTGAGACAGCCACCCTCCCACCTCTACTTCAGACCCTGTGGCTGCTGCTGTATCTTGTCCAGTAATTGTTGGCTTTCTACCTCAAGGGTTCAGCCACCTCAATACAGGTTAACAAGCAGATGTAACTCCTTCTTGTGTCTCTTTCTTGAAGCCCAAGGCCCAACCACTGCGCATGTAGGTGACTTGCTGGTCTCTGAATAGATTTCAATCTGAATAGATTGCAGATTCTCTGACTTCATTTGTGTAACTTTCCCACCTGATATTCTTTAGGTGTCTTTCAAAAAAATTTTGTCCTTTGAAATTCTATGTTACTCAAGGTTCCTTGATAGGAAAAAAAACCCTCTTACCTTTCTTCACCCTGAAATACTCTTCCTTCATGACCTTTCAGAATGCTTGTTTGTGTATTCCTCCTTTCACTCTTCATTTCTTCCTTCCTCCATTCATTCAGTTGCTCAATTATTCAATCAGTTTTCTGAATGTGTATAGCACTGTGCGCTCCATGGGCATAGATGGCTTCTGCTCTGGACGGCAGCCACAGATTAGGCCAACGTGGTAGTTCATGCCTGTAATCTCAGCTACCCAGGAGGCAGAGAAAGGAAGATCAGTAGTTTATGCCTTGTCTGGACAAAATCAGCACAAGACTCTTTCAAAAACAAAATCAAAACACAGAGTTGCAGGGTGTGGCTCAAGTGGGTAGAGTGCTTGCTTTACATGCACAAGTCCCTGAACTCAATCCCCAGTACTAGAGAAAAAGAAAGAAAAAGAAAAGCCACATATTCGTGGCGTGTCTCAGTGGGAGCCTTGGCAAAGGCCCTGCAGAGCCTGGCTCTGCCAGTTCTGACTGGGTGGCCTGGCCTCCCTCTACCTGGTTTTATTTTCATTTTTTAATTTGTAAAATCAAGATAAGGACACATCCCCCCCAGGCGCCACATGATAATTAAGTGACTAAGTCTGGATCTGAGAAGAATGTATGGCAAGTAGCACAAACCCAGTAAACACCAGTGTGATCATCCCTCTATTGGAGAGAATATGGCCGTTGAGAGTGGACTGTCCAGAAAGTGAGCATAGGAGCGAACCTTTTCTCTACCCTGTGCTTGCCAGTGCTTGGTGAAGAAGGGGAAGCGGGGTGGACACAGGCCTTTGGCAAGACTCCTCTCTCCAGCTGGTTTAGGAGCTTGTGGTACAGCTGTTCACATCCATCCTGGTAGCCAATTTATGACCCCTTGTCCTGAAATGTGGCTTAGAGGCCATTGCTTCATTGCTTGCACATGAGCTATGCTGTTCTCTCTCTCTCCCTCCCTTTCTCTCCATCCCTCCCCCCTTCTCTGTGAAATCACTGTGGAGCTAAGTTTGCAAAAAGTTTATAAAACCTAAACAGGCTATTCTTAACACATCCCCACTCAGCAAGGTAGCGCACTCACAGCCCAGACTGAAGTCAGAGGACTGAGGCCCCATTGCCAGCTCATAGAAACAGAGGCTACTCGGTTTGCAAGTATGTAAATGGTCTTGTGAGCCATTTTTTGGAAGTATTTTATTGTAGGGGAGAGTTTTGAAGCAGACCTGATTTCAGTTTATAGGGTGAACTTTGAGAAGGCAAGTTGTTTAAAATTCCAGGGACTCAGTTTATCATCAGCATTATGGGGACAATACAGCTGCCCAGATTTTAATCAGACAATACCTATGAAAGTGACTGAAAATGCAGAGAAGAAAGGAGGGAGGGAAGAAGGGAAGGAGAAAAGGAGAGAAGGAAGGAAAGGAGGGAAGGAAGGAAGGAAGGAAGGAGGAAGGCCAAATATATTCTAAATAGCTAGATTTATGCTTGTTTAAAATCATACTTAAGGGCCAATGTGCTTGGAGTGTATTTTGGTATAGCAATGGCTCTGTGAGTTTAAATCTGTGAACTTGCCTCATTAGACTACACACACACACACACACACACACACACACACACACACACACACACACAGTGTATTAGCACCCATCCTAAATCCACTTACTTTTGAACTTGGGATATTTACAGCTGTGACTGGGTTGAGCTCTCTGCATCTTACATTATGACTCAAAAAGCACATTAACCCATTAAGCACTTTCCCCTTTGGAAGAACTGAGTTGCATTTCCAGTGCCTGACCATGAGCTACAGTGAAAGAAGTTGACTCACACAGACACCGTTTATGAGTAACAGACTGCAAATGTGGCAGAGTTCCACATTTCGCTTTTAGTGTAAATTGAAAGTTGTTGGTAGGAAAATAATGAAGCAATGTTCCATTCCAGAAAAACAGAAAAAAGGAAAATTAATGGTATTTATCGAGATGTTGACGAATGCGATTCAACATTAGTGAAAAGAATGAGTTTCAAGCTGGGCACAGGTAGCTCAAGCCTGTAATCCTAGCTACTCAGGAGGCTGATGGCTGGAGATTTTCCAATCCAAGCAAGAAAGTCCATGAGACTCTTTCTGCTAATTAACCAGCTAAAGAAGCAGAAGTGTGTGTCATGTCATAGAGTGACAGCCATGAATGAAAAAA